TATTTAAATACGTATATTTTCTCATATGAAAAATGTGTTAATACATTCATTACTTACTCTATGGTACGTGATGTAAATGAACTAGGACTAATAATTCAAGTCGATTTCCAGCGTTGCCTCGTCGACTTCCTTTGCGCGTTCCAAGATTTTTGGCTAGCCTGCACAAAAATAGCAATAAGATGAAAGATGAAATTATGAAATAGAAATGAAGATTATATTTAAAGCAGTTACATATTAGTCATCGAGTTAACCAGATATAAAGAAAAGATATTTTTAAAATATTTATGTGCGTGTCTTTTTCTTCCTCAATCTTACAATTTTTACAATTTCTTCAACGAATTGCATTTATTTTTCTAATTTTTTTCCATTACCAAGATACAAAAAGTTTACAAAAGTATTAACGAATTTAATGTTAAAATTATATATATCAAGTTTACCTTCATATTCTTATTTTTCCTTTTTCTAATTTTCTCTTTATTTTCTTTCTATTCTTGTGGAAAGGATTGATTTAAAGAATTGATCGGTGTAAAGAACACTCTTTTTTTATGCAATTTTTACATTTATCATTTACCTGACGCTGGGTAAGAATGTCGGGGAGTTGCCTTGACAATCTAAAATCTTGCACCTCATCGACACATAAATCTTAACGATCACTGCAAAATTTAGGTCTCGATCCAGTAAATCTCAATCAAGATTTCACGTTAATTTAAAGTACGCCTTTCCCGTTAAATGAGATAGATCTAACAAAGATAGCGAACAAATCTGCGGAATCTCGAAATTTCGAAACGAACGTACGCGGAAGCCTCCAGAAAGACTGCTGGTTCTCCGTCGATTTTGCTGCTCTTACATATAGCCTCCGACATTCTCCCTTCCTTACTCTTTGTCCATTCGAGTGGGGATACCGTGACTACTACATAATGATGGATATTCGATAATTATATTGATTAATTGTTTTGTTAATTGCACTATAAATGTACATCAGAGACTGGAAACTAATAAGAAATTATTTTACTGCTGACATGTTGAAAATAACACGCGACCGTAGACTTGTGTTTGAAAAAAAAAAAAATTGATATTATGCTCGAAACTCTACTTTGTTGCAAACGGATACATGATATGCATCGATCTTAATTTTTTCTTTTTTCTTTTTTTTCAAAAATGACATCTTCTCTTTGTGCCAGTAATTATTGACCAGTTTTTTGGAATCGCGAATCATATCTGTTACCTTAAGAGAGTAGAGGAAACGTAGATTTATTTGCATTAATGGAACATTTGACGCATTTATTAATAATTCATAAAGTCACTAAGATCTTATAATATCTCCAACAGTAATCGTTTCTCCAATAGTAATCTAGTTTATAATCTCGTTTAATCTAGTTTATATTCTCGTTAATCTCTCGTTTATTTCTTCTGTCTCTAAAGCAACTACGTATCGTTTATGATTATATGCGAGCTGTGAGTTTGCTATTAAAGTGAAAGACTCGCCTAAAAGGCTTGCAACTTCTAAGCTTAATAATTGAAAAAAAAACCGATTATATCGAATATATAACTCATATATATAACTCATTTTGAAATAAGTATACTTGTAGTAATTTAGATAATAATTTATTTACTATTAAGAAATGGATGAAAAGATCACAATATAAAGTAGATTAGTAAGAATGTTTTTGATTTTCTCAGCAAGATACGTTGTTCTTTTTCCAAGCGATAAAATTTACGTGTAGGACATATATATATATATATATATATATATATATTAATAAAACTAAAAAACTTATGGCGTTCCGAGCAGACAAAGAATATCGTTGAAACGTGTTTCGCGAAAATCTCCATCGTCCTTTTTTTGTTATCAGATTCGCATAGTGACATAAAAACAAGAGATAATACATTCGCAGTGAGGAGTCTAATTGTAAGAACAGTCAAGTTCACGCACGGATGTTGTTTATTAATTTTTATACACTTGGGCGTGCACGAACTAACGGAATTTATTCGCATGTATTCGTTTCTGTTTCTATGCTTGCAAGAATATCGCTGAGATTCGAATAATCCTCCTTTCTCTTTTTCTCTATAATGTTCAAAGAAATATTTCTCGGATAGAGATTTTTTACCCTGTCGATAATCCGATTGAATTTGCTTCTTCTCGAAGATTAAGAAAAAAACGCTTGAGAAAATAAATTCTATTAACGCCATTCTCATATGTATAAATATATAGTAAATATTATAACACTGATTTTTTTTAATCAAATATATTTATATAGTGGAAATTATGAAGGAGAGTGATCAAGAAAGGAGAATGATCAGAGGCGGAAAAAGAACATTATAAAACCGGATATCATAATTCTCAATATCTTGGTTACATGCGCGATATATTTTTTATTTTCGCGACGAAGCAATCGCGTTAATGTCGTGCTGACTGCGGAATAAATTATACATTCTCAGGGGAAAATAAGAATCGTCGCGTGTAGTTGTTGCAGCTTAAGGTAAACTAGAATCTGATGCAACATTGATTCCACATGTCGTCAGGACGCACATCGCGTCGTAAAATTCCTTCCTGTCGCCCCATACCGCGTTAGATATCAAAGGTTCAGCGAAAGTGAAATATCGCACGATTATCGTTTCAATTAAAAATATGAAAATATCAAGTAGTATGCATAAACCGAAAATGTTTTAGTGTCTTCCACCGCATCGTGTTTATCCCTCCTCTATTCATGCTAATTTTATTTCTTGAGAATTACATTCCTATTTAAAATTAAAGAGATAGCCTCCAGAGCAAAGATGTCATAATTAATTTTTATAGTCTTATTCTCTTATAGAACTTTTTTGAAAAAAAAAGGAAGATTTAAAAAATCATTTGACAACCAACAAGGGTTACCAGTGGTGAAGCCATACAAAACCATGAAATGAAAAGGTTAACGGTTAGGAAAAATTAATATTCAGGAATGATTCAGCTCTTATTATACTCGACATAACAAATCTATATTATAAATAGAAATTATTAAATATACTATATATAATAATTGTATTCATTTAGCAGTGTTGTAATCGGTATGAAGTATGTACAACAAGAACTCTTATCTAACTAGCTGAAACACTATGGCTCTGTACAGAAATCAAATTGATCAGACTATTTGAATTTTCAGCTAGTTCGGTAATACTAACTCGACCACGTTGTTGCACAAATCTAGCAACAGCTTCAAGCTCATCTTCAGATATATAAATAAACTTTCCTCTATCATCAATTACACCAGTCAAATTACCATTAGCTTGCAGTTGTTGAATTCTTTCTATTACATTAGCTGTCTTTAGTCCAAAATGTGCAGCTAGATCTTCTAAAACTAATACTTTGTTTCGCTTTATATATGCAAGAAATTCTTGTAATAAGTTCTCCTCGCCATCTTTGCTTTCTTGTTGATAACCTTCTTCCTCGATACTAAAAGCTTCCTTCATCCTTAAATATTCTTCATATTCTTGCTTTTCTTTTTCCTCTCTGGCTTTCTTTTCTGCTTCTTCCTCTCGAAGTTGCTGGGCATGTTCTTTCTCAACCTGTTTATCCCTTTCCTCTTGCAAAAGTTGTTCTCGTTTTTTACGTTCTTCTCTCTCTCGTTCAGCTGCCTCTCTTTGGATCTTCTTTTCAGCTTTAGCTGCTAGCTTTGCTCGTTTTTTCGCTCCTATCTTATGATCTGGCAATTCTGCTTTGTCTGCTCCATCTTGGTCGTTATCGTAGTCAACTTGTCTGTCATTCTCCTCGGGTGGGCAATTAGCATTTCCTTGCATGCGACGTCTAACATTTCTTACAGCGCCTACTCTTCTTAATCGTCCAACTTGCGCAACACCATCCTGAGTGTTGGCTCGTACTTTCCGCGTAGCTAGAGACAAAAATTGCTTGTTTATCGCTGTTTGTAATAACTCTCTTCGGGCAAAAGAGTTAAGATATTTTAGATATTTTCTATTTCTTCTATTTTCTATTAATTTTTTGCAAATATAATTCATTGATTCAATTAAACTTTGACAATAAGCATTGTCCGATTGATAGAAACAGCCGTGTTTCAGGTTCGCTACTTGGAAGTTAAACGACAGAGTCATAATCAGGAGAAATTGTACAAATCTCTTCGAAACGAATTTTGATTTATAAAGCAGATTATTATGAATATACCAACGTATCGGATTTCTACCTTGTAAAAAAGTGATACATATGGTAATTAGTACGATCGCTGCGATGATTAATGTCAACAAATAGATATCCATTCTCGAAAAGGATCTCGACTAGAATGGATCTCGTAAAAAATTCGATAAACAAGAATCATGGAGCAATTATGAGCAGTTGTGATTTGTGAATCGATGATCGATGACGAATTGACGGCACAATTTCATGGATCCGCAATGCAGACGGCAGCAGGCGTGCGATAAAACGATAAAAGCATAGAAAAACGTCACGACAAGAGTGTGCGAGAAATCGCGGAGAAATCCCACTTCAACTCATTGTCGATTATATCGATAAGATATGTATTATCGATATAATCGATAGCACGCGCTTGATTGTTGCGAACACGAATCGGTCAAGAGGTGAACTAGGCGTCCGATACTGGTAGTTGCCGATGGTGGTGTCACTCATGGGCATAGAGAACGCAAAGCAATGCAGATCGATATTGGTATATACTACGTGGCCACATCCATTTTCCGATACTGCCGATAAAATCGTAAAAAATTCTGAAAAATTATTAAAAATTATTTATAATTCTCTTCTATATCAAGAGTTTGTGACGTAATACAAACACGGATTAAAATACAATTTTATCGGGAGTGGCCACGTAGTACCAATATATAATATAAATGAACGTACTGGCGATAGTGTACAGAGAGTTTTGACGGTCCCATAAAAAAGGCCGGGGTGGCCTCTCTCAGACTTCTCTCTGGTCATGATGTAAGACCGGCTGCACACGGGACGCGGCAACGCGAGGGTGACACCCGTTTGACCACGTCCCGATTGACCGCTAGCCACTCACAAAGTCTAGAATTTTTCCATTGTTCAAGCGCTGTGAGTGGCTAGTGGTCAATCGGGACATGGTCAAACGGGTGTCACCCGCAACGCGACAACGCGGCAGCCTATGTGCAGCCGGCCTAAGAAGAAAGGTGAAAGGTGATCATTCCGATGAATGCGCAGGTCAAAGGTAGTGGGGGATAATCAACCAATTACGCTTTGAGCTTTTATGCGAAATTCATTCACTGAAATGGCTGCTTTCAATATGGCTGCTTATTGAGTTTTGTTTTAAATAACAGTGTGATATTAGTATTAAAAATGCCAATTTGTTGCGTTCAAAATTGCAAGGCCAAACCGGTAACGTAGTAACAGGGAAAATTACAATTATGTAATTACAATTATGTATTATTTTTCCAAAGAGCATGAATTACGAAAATAGTGGCTCGAAGGAAAGGGGATAAAGCTCAACTATGATAAGTTTATATTCCGAATGCTTATAAATATAATCTTTTCTTTTTCATATTTTATATGTCACAAATATCTACAATGTAATATATTATATTCTTGTTTTAAAATCAAACTCATATTTTCCTATTAATTATCTCTTATTTTAACACACATTTGTAATATACATTACAAATGTAATGTATATTACATAATACTTATACATTATAAAATAATAAAATTGAAGATCAAAAGCAACAATAATTTATTAACAGAATATGTTTTCATTAATTCTTGATAAACAATGTTCATTTAAAAAAATGAACAATATAAAACGTTTTCGACTCACGACTTCTTCTTCACGATATATGTAATTAAGCGTTGTATGAACAAAAGAAATAATAACAGAAATGTCTCTAAGACTGCGTTCGGGGAGTGCGCTATTAGCGATATCATATCATTTCATCTTTATTGCTCATTATATGTAAATTAAGGACAGAATGATGCGATGGTTCTAATAGCGCGCTCCCCGAACTCAGTCTAAATATGAGAACGTGTTAAAGAAATCCCCCAACAGAAACTCATAAGTGACATACACTACAGATTAAAATTTTGACATATAATAAAAATTAAATTTGATCAATGTATAAGTAAGAATTCTAAAAGTGTACTCGTACTGTCAACAATTTGTATAGTTATACTTTATTTTTATAATTAAATACAACGTATTTTTATTTAAATTGCATTAGACAATCTTATTTCATTTTTGATATTTGTAAACAGCGCGCTGCATAAAAGCTCAGTCTCTGATTGGATCTCAGACCTACGCCATTATACGCAATGGTTCTTTCTCTGGTATAGCATAAATATAACGTGGTATAGTATAGTATAAGATATAATGCATGTGAGTACGCAATGCATTCGAGCGTAGCGCGTAGCGTCAAGCATAGTGGTCACTGTAGATGATAGTGGAGTGATTTATTGTGTAATATACGAATTTGTAGAATAATAATAAATTGCGGAAAGTTCGAAATACGGATACGAATCCGTTCGATAACGGTGAATGCTCAATGATATACACGTTGACGCTCGCAAATGCTTACGCTTGTATGAACGTTAACGAAAGATAAATGAGTTTGCAAGATAGTTTGTTTTCCGAAGATGTCGAATACGACGTAACCGCTTTTGCAAGGAATAAAACACGCAAGAGGTACGAGACAAAATTAGAGGTGAGACAAATATCTCACAATAGAGTATTAAAATATGGTGTAAAGTGCTATATATATGTATATGTATAAACATTGACGGCGATGCCGTAGCAATGTTACTTTGAAGGTTAATTTTTTCACGGCATTCTTTAATGGTCGCGCGGATATATAAAACGATTCTCTTTCTCCTCGTTTTGATCTCATCTCTCTCTTGATGAAAACGATCTGGAGAAATTCGTACATCGTGCTCTCGGAATCGAACGAGATTACCGTGAGGGCCTCATTTTCACGAGCCTCGAATTAGGCTGTAGAATTTATAAATAGTATAGGCAGCGGAGTAGTATAGTTTTCGTTTTTGCTAGAATACAAAGAGCTGAGCCACGATTCTATTTTCTTTTGGTTACATTCTACTACTCGTCTATTTATACTCGTGCGCTATATATGATTTAATATCATAATGTCAAATAGTTTTGATCTTGATCTTGATTTACATTCTTTGATTTGATTTTTTTATTAATTATAATCGATATATTATAATCGGAATTTGAATGATCATTGTAACATATGTATGTACGAGGTATGATTAAATCAATTTCTGAAAAATTTAATGCTTTACATAAGTATATTTGATTTTACATTTGCAGATGCAGATGTGTTTTTTCTATGTGCAATATTTTTATTCCAGTTTAGAAGCAATTTAAATTTAATATTAACTATCAATCGTTTGATCTTAAAATTTTTTTATGCGATCGGAACAACTCGGTATAATTATAGCTCAAAAACAATTTGTCGATTTTGAACATATTTCCGATCTCCGTACACGGGGGAGTCTGACATTCGTTCACAGTTACATTCTTACTACACGCACGTGGGTTACGTGAATTCAGTAATCACGCGTAACCACGTGCTTATGCACGATGTATAAAGCAGCGCACTCTATTTCGTCCTTGTAATACGGAAGCATAATTAAACTGTTGCTTATTCTCGTGTTCGTAATGGCATATAAATATGTAAAACAAGTGGATGCTTTTTCTCGAATATATCCTATATGCATTACGCACGACATGTGATAAAAGAAAAGAGAGAGAGAGAGAGAGAGAGAGAGAGAGAGAGAGAGAGAGACAAAAGAAACGTACGTGTTGCGATATAAGTGACAAGTCGTAAGCGCTGCGGTCTACGCTACATGCATAAATCCTCGAGAAACGATCGAGAGAGAAAGTGAGCGAGTTACATAAAAGTTAGCTGGCGTTTGTATCCTTGTCTCTCTTCCCCTTCCATCCTCATTTCGAACCAGTGCCGTAAGGCGTTACGTTCACCAAAACGAACGAAACGACCGATACTACCGATGCCTCGAGCGTCAACGAGCGGTGCTTCGCTCGATCTCACTTTCAACGACTTACTTTCAGCATTCTTTTCGTTTTTGCAGAGCGCTCGTTTTTCCGCCCGTCAACAATTATCGTCGGTACGTAATACATCAGCTGATACAAGATCGTTTCCCAGACTTGCTGCATACGTTCTCGATCGGTCAAGGTTCGGCTAGGCGTACCGTCGTATGCTACAAGAGCGATGTGAAAAGGTACAGACAAATGACAATGCCGCTACAAGTTGCCCCTCTCGATTTTAGGCCATGAATTTCTACTAAGCCATGAATTTCTTTTTTTATTCAAATATTCAATCAGATTGTTAATGAGCGCGCAAATGATTCTTTGCATTTCTTTTTATCAATTTTCATTTTAATATGTATTTAAAGTATATTTTATTGTAACGCGTTTAAAGAGATACATCATATATGTGTAACAAACGTGTGTATGTAATTGCAATGTGTTGCGTTATCGCCAAGGAAAATTCCTTGCGATGGATTTGTTCCGATTGCAAGGTCATTCTATCTATTCCATCGATATATTAAAAAATCATGTTTACGGTACACTAATGATATATTTTTTTTTAAATCTGATTAAAAATTTGTTGTAATCGTTTTTTCTATCAAGAGATTGGAATCCAAAATCGAATATTTCCGAGTGTAAAGTAAGTTTTCCGACAAAACAAAAAGATACGAGCGGCGAAATGGGTATCGAAGGCCGACGATCGCTTTCAACGTCTCCCGAATGCAAATTGCAGCGACAAGGTAATTGTAACTGTAAGTTAATTGATAACAAACGTTATGCCACATAGGAATAGCAGGAACATCTAGAAACAATCAGATTATGATTATGATCTAAAATGCACCTTTTTTTTTTTATTAGCCAAGTTGGTACCAACAGTTGAGATTTATAGACCACCGGCAGCTAGAAGATCCAATACATGCTCGCAGACAAGTAGTGTACAAACACCGATACAGTTGACTACTACAGATTCTTCCTTGGTCAAGTAAGACTTATTCTATTAACAAATCATAAACATTAATTATAATCGTTTTATAAATATAAACACATCCAGAAAGTACTTGACCTATACACAGTCAACATGCCTTTCTCTTTCGTATTTTATCGGATTTATATTATTTATCGGATTTTGCATTAATTATAATCAATTATATTTCAAAGTATCACTAATATTTTGCTAATATATGTATTTATACACTGTATTTAGAAATGTACGTCAAAAACGACCCGACCGAGCAGTTTATGTACCTAGGCATCGAAGAAGTTTAGAAACTGAAGATAAGAGGTCACAAAGTTCAAAAGGTTTTCATACGATATTAAATGGAGGTTCCAATACAGATAATAATTCTAAACTGCAAGATATATGTATGAATCAACAAGATATGAATGCCATGGCTTCAAATAATCAAATTTCCCAAAATAATAACACGAAAATGGAGGATGAAGATTTACCGCCAGAAATTTCAGAAAATATTTCTTTAGAGTCGAAAATAATTTCCGACACTCTTCGTAATACTGAACACGTATACAAGTTATCGGAAGAATTGAAAACAGATGTGTTGAGTGTATTCGAAGAGAAAAATATCACTAATAATCTTAACGAAGATAGCATTAGTTTCAATATATCAAAATCATCCAGTCAAGTTGAAATAAATGACAAACAATTACAAATGATACAAGAAACTGTGAAAGAAAACCAGTCCTTGATAGAGTATTCAAATTGTAATGATATAATCGCTCACGAAGATAGACAATTAGTTGAACAAAATGTAGTGTCGGATATTTTAATAATTTCCGATAATATCCAAAAGAAATCCCAAGAATCTGAACAACTCTCTCCAATGTTCGTAACACCACCTGAGAAAAAAGTGAAAAAAATAGAAAGGCAGAAAAGTAAACCGGCTCCACCACCGTCTCCACCTCTGAAAATAAATAGAGATGAATGTGATTGGGATAGCTTATTTGATGATAATGGCGATTGTTTAGATCCAACATTAATAGAAGAGGTTAGTAAGAATTATGATACATATTTCTGTTAAATAATTTTGTTAGACTTAATTATAATTAATTATTTATAAGTATTATCTTTCTCTTTCTCTCTCTTATTTTAGCTTACGTCAGCAGTAGGTGAAGTAGTAATAGAACAACCAAAGAATGATTACAAGACATATAGCAAGCAAATTGAAGTATCTAGTGACGAATTTGCGCATGTGGTAGAAATTTACAATTTCCCTTCCGAATTTAAAACTAGCGATTTGGCAGCTGTCTTCAGTTCTTTTAAGAATGGTGGTTTTGAACTCAAATGGGTAGATGATACCCATTGTTTGGGAGTTTTCAGCAGCCCTCTCGTTGGTACGTATGTATGCATAATAATATATACCCATATAAAAATAATACATATATGTATGATTAGTGTGTTATTTATATATCTGTGTTGATTTTGAAAGAATTTAGCTTAATAATTTATATTTTAACAAAAAGATTATGTTCTTCCGAGAAAATGTACAATTATTTCAATCTTTGATACCGCTAATAATATAATATAATTGAATATAATATAATTGACAATCGTTAAAAATATCTTTCCTTTTAATTACTATCAAACTTATTACAATTAGCTATATTCTTTTTTGCTTCTTTTATTTTTCTTTAAGCTGCCGAAGTGTTAGCATCGAATCATCCGTTTGTGAAAACGAGACCACTTAGCGAAGCTACTGCTTTAAGTAAAACAAAAGCTAGAAGAAGCGCAGAATTTTTGCAACCTTATAGAAATCGTCCGGAAACATGTGCCGCCTTAGCTAGAAGATTAGTTACAGGTGCATTGGGCGTGAAGCTTGCTACAGCTAGACAAGAACGTGAACACGAAAAGAATATTTTACGTGAAGCAAAAGGTAATCCTCAGATATATCAGATATACAGTACATAATATAAAAAATAATAATTTAACAATTGAAAGATATATACAGAATTTTAAGATATTTTTACATTACAGAAAAAAAACGATTAGCTAACAAACAACGAGAGGATGTATGGGAAGGCATAATACCTACAAAGTAGCATTATATATCGTTGCTAAAACGAGAGAGAAAGAGAGAGAGAGAGAGAGAGAAATATTTATAAGAATTTGTACCTCGTTGTATATTATACGCACTCACATTATTGTGGCTGCGTAGTTGATGCAACCCACCATGATTCACGTAAATGTTACTCTCGCATTAGCGCACATGCGTATATTTGTGCCTTATTCTCATCTATTCTTTATATTGACAAATAGAAAATTAACATACTTTTTTTAATTTACCATCTACTATTTTGTAGATAGATCTTACTATTTTGAATTTATCTGTTTTCTTTTTTTTTCTTTTTTACAATCCATGATTATTTATCAGTAGATGAATTCGATATATAAATATTATAGCGCGCGGGTAAATATCTTATTATTTAAATTGCATAATTATATTATTGATAAAAAATTATTGAGACAATATTATCATTTTATGAATATAATACCGACATAAAGAAAAGAAAAAGGTAAAAATCAAATGACCAGTGGCGCATTTATATTCCCCGCATCTTTCCGATGCAAAAATGCAATATTTTAGTAGATCTAATACATATAATATTGGACAATGATTTATTTTAAATTCAAAATTTGATATCAAAGTTATAAGTGTAGCGGCAAATATTTAAAAATGAATGAGAATTAGAATATTTTATATTATTTTGATGATTGTCATTAATATGTGTTTACACACAGCAACAAACAATAATACATAGTATATAGATTGATCGCAAGACAATAAGTTGAATTATTACCAACAACAAGATTCTTTTGTCGCACATCAATTCGTTATATAGCGTTATATTTTAAAATATATCTTTACAAGAGAGAATTATTTTATATAGTTGGACAACATAATCAATGTAGAAATATTATACGAAAATGTGGCATTAAAATCATATTACAAAAAACAATTTTACAATTTCAACTTATGCCACTTGTATGTCTGTTGCGTATACAAATGTTACAAACCAACGCACAATCACATTGTCTATTCATATTACAGAGTTGCTGAATATAAAGAAGATAGATGTATTTTTATATACAATTGTTATCAATACGAAAGATATGCGTATCGCCTATCCCTAGTCAATGTACACAAAAAATGTGTTAGGTGTTAATATATCACGAGTTAAATAAAAGGATCTTTTATGAGAAAAGAGAAATAAAAATATTTTCTAAAGCGTAATTTAATATTGTCTATACTTGTCTCTATTCTTGTCTCTATCAATATAAGTTTATTTCCAAGTTTTGCAAACAAATGTAAAATACAAAAAAAAGATGTTTATAACAGAATATATGTTGTTACAATAAAATTAATAGATAAATCTGAATGCGTTGCATAGGTCTATTGATAGGTTTACGGACGATTAATTGATGTGAAAGATGGAGAGATCGAAAACATATTTCCTTAATACACACATATCGTGTGTATAATATCATTTTTAATGGCAGTATTACATTTTGCGTTTTTCACAAAATACAGCTACATGGTAGCAAATTCATTTGATTATTCTTTTAGTTTATAATTTTCGGTAAGAAATATTTCTTTTCAATAGGTTATTCACTCTAATTTGTTTCATATAAAAAAACCATGAATTTAATGAAATGACGAGATAAACGTTACCACTTGCTACCTTTCTTCTTCTTCTTCTGTTGAACTTTGCGTTGTTGCTGACGTGGTCCAGAAGTTTCCACTATGGAACTATGACGAGGGTTTGGTGAAGGTTTGGCGTTTGCAGGCATTTTAGTAATATCACTGTAAAGTACATTTATTTTTTTTAATATTATTTATGTATTTATGATAATGTAATACATACATACATACATACATACATACATACATACATACATACATACATACATACATACATACATACATACATACATACATACATACATACATACATACATACATACATACATACATACATACA